AAAAAGTAATAGTATTTTAAGATGCAAATTAGGATTTTGCCAAACTTCTAACTTCCTCGTCATTCATTATTTGTAGTATTTTTTTTTTTTTTTTTGAAGAATTTGACATTATTTACAGCCATTATTTGTAGTATTTGAAGTGTGGAAATAATAAAATATCCTTTCAACTTTCTAATGTAAAGGAGAAGCTATTGTGCACTAAGCCTATTGGCTCATGTAAAGGAGAAGCTATTGTGCACTAAGCCTATTGGCTCCATGGCAGTGCATCTTGTATCTCCTGCCATTGAGAAGAGTTCGAATCCCCAGCCAACCATCTATCACATTGATTTCCCAATAGCTTGACAGATTCAGTTCTTGATAACACCAATTACAAATAACAAATCTACTGCTAAATTTAATAAGGTGGAAGAAAAAAGGGAGTAGCATACAACTAAATCACCAATCGGCCAATGAGGAGTTTCATAAAAATCCATGGCCTACAATACATTAAAATACAAGGCAAAAAAATCCTTGCAGAACAGAACATACACCTATAAAATCCATACATAGTCTGGCGCATCTTTCCTATGTCCAACCAATGTTCGATACAGGTACATCTTTTGTACCTTCTGCTCATCAACAGTGCTGAATTCCATCTCATCATTATCATTTATGATCTCTACATTGAGCCTTGGCATCTTCTTTGCAAGCATCTTACAGCCTCCAAGGGTAACTTCACAGGAGGACATCCAAAGGGATCGCATTGTTTCATACTTTCCCACGTCCTGTAGAAGTGCTGCATTACCAAAAGGGCCGTCCATGATTTCTAGCTTACGAAGATTCTTGCATCCATTCAACACATAAAGCATTCCCTTGTCATTGTTCCCAGCAAAAGCAATAGAAAGCATTTCAAGCTGTTCGGCAAACATTCCTATGTAAAGAAAAACCTGATCCGTAAGAAGTCCGGAGAGTGATAACCGCTTGAGACCCTTGCACGACTGAACAATTGCCCCAAAACCTTCATCCAACGGCTGCATAGTCACAGCGTCAGGTTTTTGGGGGTCAAGAATGCACAGTCTGAAGCGGATAAAATTTGGACAATTCTTTGCAACAGTTATGAGGGCAGCATTCGTCATCTGCTCGCAGAAGTACAGTAATGAATTGAGCTTAGGGCAGCCAGCAGATATAGCTACCAAACCTTCTTCCGTCACAGCAGCGTTTCCAGCCCCAAAGGGATCAGATGGAAATACTCTCAATTCCTGCAACTCTTTGCAAGTTGAAGCTACTACTCCTAGTCCCTTGTCTCCAATGCAATCTAATATCTGCAGAGACAAGGAGATTACTGTAATCATGTAAAACTTGACAGAAAATGTAAACCTGATAAGGAAGAAGGGTGTACGGGTGTACCCATAGACGCTGAAGACTCCTGCAGTGTTGAATAAGCTTTATCAGCTCATCACCATGGAGGCCAGGAGCATAGCTTAGATTCAAAAAGGTCAAATTAGGGCAAATTGGATAAATAGCAGCCATGAAGTGAGGTGAAACCTCCAAGAACCCAGACAAACTCCTAACTGAATTGCACATCTCTATGGCAGCTTTCAATCTATTATAGACCTCAGGAGATGGGTCATGTACGTAAGACCCTGTTCCTAAGTCCACCAATTGAGGTGCTCGCACCAATATCCTTTGAAGTGTGTTGAGAGGTACCGCACGGTTTAACCTCAAACTCTTGAGGTTAGGAGATCTGGCTACAAGTCTCTCCAAAGTCGTTAGATTTATTTCTCCCTTGAGACAGGCAAAATTCAGAGAGACAAGAGATGTACAGCTTTCAGGAAAGCAGCTGAGCCACTGGCCTCTATGGTCATCAACTTCATTTTCTTGCAAATCAAGCTCCCTAAGAAACCTATAATCAGAGTTCAGAAAAGCAAAGCAATAGCCAGAGTTAAAAGCTCCCTCTTAACATAACTAAGGACAGTTTACTTTGAACCCATGAAAAGACTATAAACAACATATGTTAAGCACTTTAAGCTGAACAACACTGTCTATCAATCTATGCAAAGAGAGCAGAAGAAAGCACATTCAATGAACTACGAAAAAGTCAAACCTTTCTAAGATATGCCAGAGATAAAGCGAAAAAGTAGCAAGAATAGAATGCAACACAGAAAACTTCCCAAATGCAACCGCAGTAAAATGGCTCCATTTTTTCAACTAGCTAAGAAAAAGCTAGACCTAGAAACCATCCAAGATTCAAACCAGCAAAACGATTGATACATACAAATTTGGAATGATAATAGTTTCAAGGTAGTGATGTAATTTAGCACTCATCACAAGTAACAAACAAGCATTCAGGGACACTATCTGTGAACAATCAATAATCAATTTTCCAAATTTAACTTCAATACAAACTTGAAATCATCACATGAGTATAACTCCAATCCAAGAAGTTAAAAAATGGAAGTCAAAGGGGTTGATTCATAAACAAAAACCCCACAGACATTACTACTAAAGAAAGAGCAACAAATATATTTTCATCTCACCTACAATTGGCAGCAATAGCAGCAAGGCCATCCGTAGTGAACCCTTCACAGCTGACAAGAACTAAAGACTTGAAATTTGGAAAGGAGCGCGAAAGCAGCTCGAGGCTCTCATCCCAAACCACCATCCTCTTCAACCTAAGCTCCTCCAATCCGATTCTAGCGTTCGCCAGGGCCCGGACCCATGGGTCGACGAAACCTCCCCAATCAGGAGGAACCAGATTGAAGTCAGCAAAATGCGGCTTCCCCTTTAAAGTAAGGGACTTGAAGGCCGGAAATCTGGCGATGAGCCTCTCCGGGGAGATGGCATAGCAATTGCCGATGAAAACCCTGCGCCTGCTATACCTTTCGATCCGACACCATGATTTGCAGACTAAAGACAACGAGTTCCGATCTTTGTGAGAGGTTACAAAATCGAAAACGTGCTCTAAAACTTCGTCCGGGAAATAATTCATCTTAGTTTCCCTGAAGAAAAAAGCAGTCCTGTTCCGAAAGCAAGCCGCCAGTAAAAAAATAAAAATTGGTACATTGAAGGGGGAAATCTACAAAAACAGGGAACAGATCTAGGGATTTGAGTAAGAATGATGGTCCTGTGGAGAAAATGAAGGAAAATGTTTTTGTTTCCAACAAACGATCATCCTGTAATCAAACAGCGATGATTACATCGCGGGCAAGAAAAACACCAAAAAGATCGAAATCCATAGATCTGAGAATCTAGAATTTCTAAAAATAGAAAAAACAAACTGCTAATCTAAACCGGAATCGGAATCTAACAACAGCAAAGCAAAGAAACCCAGCGAGGAGGAGAAACGAGGACGAGACACCCTACATCATCATCATCATCTAATACAGAGAGAGAGAGAGTCTCGTTTCAAAAAAGAAAAAAAATACAGTTCTAATGTTTTCCCTCAAGAGAAAGAGAAAGGGAAAGAGAAAAAGAAAAAGAAAGGGGGATTGTACCGAATAGAATTGAATATTTAAGCATGGTTAGAAATTTCAAAGTGTGGTTTTTAGAACCAACAATAAACCATGGTTGATTGTTGTTGGGGATGAGATGGGATGGGATGGAAGGTGTTGATTGGGGGATGGGAAAATTGAGGGAATCTTGTCCGTTGAGTTGGGTAGAAGTAGTTGTAGCATGCATGTGTCCTTATCTCTCTGGTTTTCCAGTGACCAGTAATAATAAGTAGTAAATGCAATGGGGAATTGGGTGTCATGTCACACAAATTAATCAGACTGATACAAAAGAAACCTCTTTATTTACCACAATGCCATTCTATTCTCCCTGCACTCTGCAGCAGATAAGGTTACTGTGTTATTATTTATTATTATTATTTTTTTTTTTCCAAAGGAGCAAGTGAACTTGGACTCTCTCTTTTAAATCTTGAAAATAATCTGCCGTGGAAGACACCTCCATGTGGAATTTTTGTGGATGTGGGGACGACGGACAAGACAAGCGTTCCACACAGCGAGTTTACGCTTCATCTACTCTGGAGAATATGGGTTTCTATATATATTTAATTGTCGGTAAATTTATTTTTTCTCCCTCAATTTAGAAATTTAAGAATAAAAAATCTTGAAATGTCGCATCATTTGGGTACCACCATTTACCAATATATATTATTTTTAATTATTGATAGTAAAATACACTTTTGATATTAGAAAGTTTGTTTTATTTATTATTAAACGAAATGTAATACATCATTATTTAGAAATATTGAAACGGACATTTTTCTTGTTTTTATAAGTAAAGTTAAGTAATAATATTTTTTAAAAAAATCAGAAAAAGAAAACAAAATTTTAGGGATGTAAACTACACCTAATGGTTGTAAATTAAAAAA